ACTAAATTAAAAGTTACAAAACTCGTATCAGAAAAATTAAAGTGCAGAAGATACGACGAAGAATACGTACGTAAATGTATTTCAGGAAAATTCATTCGAATCTCTAAGAGTGCAACGTGGCAAATCTATAAAATTTCTGTGAAATATTACAAATTGGCCATTTTGACCACAGTAAATGAATTTGTAACATTCTATAAGTTTTGACCTACTTACGGAGGAAGAATTGAAAGAGTATTGACTAGAACGAAGATACACGAGGATATAATAAAAATCTCTCCGTTAGGATAAAAGAATTTATAACAGTGTGTAGTGAGTTTATTATCGCGGTTCGATACATCGAAAGCATCAATGGCTATTCACATCGAGGTTAACAATTCCACGGATGAGACCTAAATAACACGAAACATTGTAATTCCATTTGATTTTCTTCCAACAATGGAATTAATCAAATTTATTTTCGTAACAGATATATTCAAAGAAGAGAGAAAAAAGAAATCACAGTATTCAAAACTGATAGAAAAACTGATTCTAATCTTTCCTTTCAAACGTATCACTTGCGAAACAAAGAAAGTCACAAAATCAAAATACTAATAAAAAGAGAACCAACTAAAAATTAATGACAAATTTCTATTTTCTGTCTGAACATCCATACATTATTCTTTACAAGATATATTGTTCTTATACAAGATTATATAATCATATTAACGTCAGAGGAAAATGGAAACAAAGGAATGGAACATCCGCTTTGATCAGAATTCGTAACTAAATTACGAATGAAGACTACAATGATAAATTCAGAAATTTCATACATTGCCAAGCGTTCCAATATCGATTATCCGCTCCCCCCTCGAATCTTTTATTCGATTTTGCAAAATCGGCGGACACAAATCAGACGTCGTAACAACAAGGTACATTTGTCACAGGCAACACACGACAAATCCAATCTGCAGAAACGTTTCAATCATTTTCCTACCGCGATTCGACAGCGTATCGCAGCCGTAATAACAATTATCAACCACCCCGTGTCTAACGATCGAACACAGCCTTCGAATTTGCGGGCTCGCGTGAAACATGCGAATCCACTTGCCAGACTGCATTTCGCGGATTAACGATGTACATCGTCACGGATAGCAAGGAAATAGTAACGTTGCCTCAAAAATCGGAGGTTTCTCTTCGGCTTTTTTCCCCAACGAATTATAGCATAGAAAAATAACTATCTTTCTGTGAACGATCTACGCCGTGTTGAAATTATTTATTTGTAATCCGTTGTAACTGATATGGTGATAGTTAAAATAGAGTGGATTTTGAAGAATACAATTAAAATTATTTCTGTATTATATCGATTTGTAGTGAATTCAAAATTAGTTTCAACGCTTACATTTTTATGAAAGCAACACGCGAAAAAAAGGAAAATATGGATCTGTATATGCTCTCGATAAAAGTTACGATTAACAAAGATGTGAAATTCATGGCCATTTAAAAAAAAAAAAGTATATAAAAGTTGGGAAGCGGTAATACCGATTAATAACGATTAATCACCGGAGATTTTCACACTTGTTTCACACCATACGTGCCTGTCCATAAAAATCACATATTCAGGAAAAACATCACTTTTCGTGAAATAGAGTCTAACTGTTACAACGATCAACCTAATCCCTCGCGGAGCTTTATGGAATATCACGAAGAAAATCTTTCGACGTCCCAAACATTTTAATATCCGATTCTATCTTCCAAAGCAAATATCTTGCGTTTAAATTCGAACGTTTGTAACAATTTATATCTAGTTACAATGATCAATCTTTTAAAGACTTTTATGAAATGTCATCAAGAAAATCTTCCAATATCTCCAATAATTCTACAATTCACGAAATTAATTTCCCGTTTAAATAAATTCGATGTGTCTTTCATAAAAATTCTAAGACTAAAACGCGTATCAAAACGAAAGAAGAATAATCAATATTCGAATATGCCAATCTCCAGCAACTTCGCCTAACATCGAAGACGCAACAGTCTGCTATTCGATAACAGAATTATACTGCAAACGACGACGTGACAAATTATTGATAGTTGCATAATGAGAAATCGAAGATCATATCGTGAAACGTTGACGACAATGTGCACGATCTTGCACGTTAAACGTTGCAATTGATCGCTCATTAACCGTAATAGCATTTGGAACTCGACTCGCGGTGATCGTTTCCATTCGATATGAATGGAATGAACCACCCGTTAGTTTTTATATGCACATAGAGGAGGATTTTCGTTGCCGCTATACCAGATCGATAGGTGCAACCAAGTGTGCTTCCCTCTGACGTATCCACCAGAAGCAAAACGTAGAGCAAGAGCGAAATTGTTGTTGCCTTGATTATCACTCACCGGTATCACCGTTGCTCTGTGTCGTCGTTTCCTCGTTTTGTGTGTTATCGTTGCTCGCCGGTGGCTTCGTTACCTCGTCCGCTGAAAAGAAAATTTATGGGCGTAAAAAATGCGATTAAATAGTTTCAAGAAATTAATTTAAACCCTTTTAAATTAGCGGGTACGTCATGCGACGAAACGAAATACACGATAAAAAAATGTTCCTCTGGATAGATTACTGATCAGACACCGGTCTCGAAAGAGCTTCTATTTCTAAATGGAACAAATTAATTCTGTTTAAAAATAGAAACTCCAAATAAAATCTACACGCGTCTTTGAAAATTTTCATTTCAAGAAATTTGTAAATAATTCCACTCGAGTAATAGTGCAGACGAGGTTTTAAATATTTTCTTATCTATTTCGCATAAATTTTTCTTTCCGCCATGACATAATCTGTGGGAAAAAAGGATTTAAATTTTCATGAATTAAAATGAAATGAAGAAATGAACTATACGTATCCAACGAAGTCGTATCGATGAAGCTTTCATACTATCATAAATGAAAAAAGATTATTATTCAATGCTTTCTTAACTAAAAGAAGAAAAAGAAACATCGTACGCTTAATCAGCTAAAAGACTAATTCCATTTTATTTGATGGAAAATTCAAATAAAACCTTTTAACTTTAATTACGCTTTTACGATATATACCGGAAATTAATTCATTGCAGTAATGGTTTAATGATAGTCTAGAAATTCTGAATTTATACTTAAACAACGGTATATTCAAGACACTCGAGACACCAATTAAGCACAACATACATATGTGAAGATTCGAATATTATCAAATTATTATACAAATAAAACTAAATATTATCAAATTATTATACTGATAATAAAATAAATAAAACTGAACTAATAAACACAGTGTCATTTTTACATATTTATAACAATATAAATTTTTTACAAATATATTTTACAAAATACAGTAGTTAAATACAAAAGATACTAAATAAGAAAATATTTTGCACCATCGTTATGCATTGTCAGTTTCATACGTGAAATACGTAATTTTTTTTGTTGTTATGTACATAAATTATATAACTTCTGTTGTTGTATATGAAACGGTGACAACAGTCTGTGTTATTTCCTATTGTGCACGAATCTGGGAAATCTCTGTGCATTATGTTCCTCCACAATTGAGCATCTGAACAGAGTTCACGGAATTCTGAACAACATTGTGCCATTCTTGTTAAACTATAGACATCTAGCAATCTTAAAATTCTAAGTTTCAACTCAGTTGGCAAAGCTTGAAGACTAGGACCCATCACACCAGCTTTTTGCAATACATCTGAACGCACTGGTGTTGACAATTCCTCCTTAAACCTATTAAATAATTTTACAATAATAAATATAATACTTGTTAAACAAGTACCATAGATTTATTATACCTGTAAGATATCTCTTTGAGCTTCATATATCTTCCACAAAGATCACTCGAATAAGGATTAACATACTTTAGAGTTTGTACATTTATATTATAAGTAGTTTTTCCATCTATGAGAGGGAAAAAGTTCAAAATCAACGTATCTCCTAGAGGGACTGCAACTAGTTTGCATTTTATATCAGGTACAGTTTCTAGTTGAAAATACATCTCATACACTCCCGTGTCTAGTGATTTCCAATCTTTTGGTACATGGAGAAATCTTAGTTTTGGACTGTGATAGATACAATTAATGACTAGAAAATCGCTATCGAATGATAATACATACCGTGAATGGTCATTATTTGTCGATGACAAGTAAAAACCAGCCTCTGCTAATAATACTATTACCAAAGCAACCATATAATCGTGATGCGTAGAATTTTCGTTCAAATCGTTTAATATTCTTTCCAATGATGGAACCAGTTTCATATATGTACAGTCTTCTACTAAAATTGGTTCCAACATCTCTATTTCTCTGAATGATTTTATAACCTCTAAACGAATGGACAATGCCTCGTTTATAATAGGTTATGTCAGTTTACAATTGCGCCACCGATGCTGTCACTTCATACTAAGAGCCTATCGCGCCATCTGTTTCAACTTTATGAAACAAACTTTTACGCGATGCTTACTTTTATTTATTGAAAATGTCTATTTTTAAAAAGAATTTTAAGAAGTCAGAAAATATTTATCTGAGAATATATTAATAATATAATTATATTTATATATTTCAAGCGATTCGATTATAAAATAACTGGATTTTCTATGTATCTTGTATTGACCATTATAAGATAAATGATTTATTTCAAAAAAGAAAACATATACTTGATTAACACATGTAATTTAATATGTACGATGTTTCAATGAAATTTAGTCTGTAATTTATGATATGACGCGCATATTGAAAGATTATAACAACATTACAGATATCGCAATGTACCGATACACGGTAAAAGAAACGACAAGTTGAGATTAATGTTTTTATTATGTGACAGAAGTGCAACCCGTTTGAGTAATATCATGACAGATAATGTGCACGAAGTCTCACGTATCTAACATACGATTTAAAGCTTATCAAGAATCACTTATCACTGAATCACTTTTTCGTTGATAAGTGAATGTTTGTTTTGCCACTTCCTTAATGATTAAATCGAAAACTCATTTATAATAATATTTAAAAAAAAAATTTTTAGGTTTATAAAAAAGGTTTATAAAAAAGGTTTATAAAAAAATAAATGAAATTAATCATAAAAATATTATATTCTGGGTAAATAGCGCATTAACAGCTTTCTTGTTGAGCAGCGCCACCACGAAAATTAAAAATTCAAAGCCGGTCAAACGAAGATAAAATAAATAAAATAAAACCGGTATAGGAACTCGTTGTGTTTTTCTTTTCTCTTTTTTTTTGTCATGGAAATGTCTCGGCGGACTTGTCGCTAATGGCCAATAAAATCAATTATACACATCATCACGTTTACGTGTGTATAGGCTAAATGCAAACTCGCATTCCGCTCGAGAAAAACCACGTTTGTACATTTACGAACAACTTGAATCCAGTACGGAATTGCTTCAGAAAGTTGTTTCGCGACGTCTTATCCGTCTGTGTCTGTGTAGTAATAACTCTTCCGCCAATAACGTAATGTTAAATCACTTAATAATGATTTTCAACAGAACTCATACATAAATAACATTCGAGACCTAATGTTAGCAAATAAATGAAAATTCCACTAGAATTAATCAAATAAAACACAACGCAGATACCTATATAAATTGATTATCTGTAAAAAAAGAGACATAAACGATAAGATTAAGAATGAAACGTTGCAATTGACCGTTATCGATAAAACTTGCGAAAAATTTTTCAATGAACATTTCCAGAGGATTTGAATTTATGAGAAATGTCATCAGTAACTCGCCATTTTTGACAGTTGCTACGCGCGAAAATTAAGTTGCATAGGTGAACGATGAGTCACGTGATCGACGACGACATGTTAGTTGGAAAATACCGGGTTAGCGAACAGGCCCAGACGGGCCCATAAACGTTCTTGCACGTTCCTGTTTCGGCACGCGAGAGCGCTCCGTGCCACTTGTTGCATGGCCGTGCATCACAGCTCCGTTTGAATGAACCGTTTTCAAAGTGCTACGGGATATTCTAGCAGAGTTTACATACCGGGGATACCGGATGTCTCGGCGTCCTCCTGGCTCGATGTTTCAGCCACTTTTGTTTGCCCGTGGGACACAACACCAGTCACTACATTTGACACCACCGACTCGCACGATTCGGCCATTTTCAGGTTAACTCGCGTTTATCCGCACGGCGGCTAGTTACCTCGCCGCATTCGAATCCTTTTTCGAAACTTCCACGCACGCTTCGCGGTTCATAACACGCGACTCCCATGACAGATGGCAGCCCCCGGATCGAAAGAATGCTACCGCCACCTGGTGGCGGATTCTGGAGTTAAAGAGTCGTTTGAAAGGACCGGCTGTATTCTTAACCTAACGTCAAGAATTTCGAAACGTAACGAGTGTTTAACGACCCGGCATGGATTTTATTGTTAAATTCACTTTTAGCGAAGCTTTCATTTCGTTACAACTACTTATCGGTACAAAGGTAACTTCTCAGACATTGTTTTCTTTCCGATATATATCGCGAGAGTGTAAACACGTAAATGGGTAAATTGCAAGGCAACGTTTTGTAGAAAGTATGATACATATAATTAAAAAACGATTAAATACAAATGTGTTAATGATCGAACAAACGCTTAATGCGCCTGTTATCAAACGCAGCATTTAAAGAAACTCGATGCGTTTTATTTCACAGTTATCAGCGATTTATCAAAAGATTTGCTGGCGGTAAAGACACGGTTCCGTGACCGGAAACCGGATGTGGTAGCCCGGATACCCCCTTCATCCATTTCCTCATGTCGCAACAGTAACATTCAACGTTGTTCAAAGTTTTCATGAGCATCGTGGTTACTCCTCCAATTATCAACAATTGATCACCTAGGGAAAGAAGACGTCAAGTAGTGAGTCCATATAAAGACATAAATAAATTATTTCTCAATTACTTGTGCGAAAGGAAATTTTTGAAATCCATTTTTAAGCAGAGGTGAACAAAATTTTTTTATTTACAACACCAAGAAATGGGTCATTTGTGGAATTTTATATATTCCAAATCTATCATCTATTAGTAGTTAAATATTAAATATTACTTAATAATTAATATTTATAACTATATTATCAATATAATGTAATGTTATATAAAAAAACTACAAAATAATTATTATGAAAGAAGGAAGAAAAGTTCCTCTGGAGATATCTTTCTAACATCTTTGGACACCATAAGAAAATAGTATTAACTTATTTGAAATATTTGTAATATATAATTACAAATTGCTACAGAAAATTATGAAATAATTACTATGACTGAGGTGAAAGAAATTGCTCAGGATATATCGTGTCTTTGAATGCAAAAAAGCTGACCTATCGAGCCTGTAGAGTGTCCGTGTCTTGCGATCGACATGTTCGCATGTTTCTTCCAAACGCAATCGTTTACATCCCACACGTCGATGCTGTCGATGCTCTGAGTGACGTTTTCCATAGTGGATGCTCCGCCGATTATGTAAAGACAGTCGGACACCACGTAGAAAGAGGCAAAGCACCTTGGTGACCTCAAAGGTATCGCTTTCAGCCATCTGAAAGAGCGTATATATAACGGAGCTCTCTTTCTCTCGGTCGCGCATTTGCCGACATAAACGCGATAAATCGAGCGTTTAACCGAGGTAATGGGAAATAGGGAACGCATGAAGGAACTCTAAGGGATGAGAATCGAGCTAACAAATTTTTGATCGGGTCGTAGCATTCGACGTCCTTTGAGAATAGCTCTTTTTTCGATTTTGTCATCCCGCCAGCGACCCAGATAAGATCTCGATATTTCGCGCTGGCAGGTCCGATCCTCGCAGTCTGCATCGATTGCACTTCCCTCCACGTGGAATCCGCTGGGTCGAAAGCCTCCATTGTTTTCAAAGCTCTATAACGAGAAAAATTATTTTTAAATTTTTATACGAAATCCTAGTTAGCTAGTATCTTTTGTTATTGTCTCTGTACTATACTAAATTATGATTCATTCAGGCTGGAAACTTCTATTCTACAATATACTGTTTAATGTTAATCATATTTATCATGAAATATAAAACGAGTCGAGTTTGTTTCTTCCTCGTCTTCTCATTACGCAACCGTAAGACGAATTGTCTCAGCTTTAAACCGTGACGTCGATGACAATTAGGAAGGCTTAAATTAACAGCAATTAGCGTAGCGTAGAAATAAACCAGCGAGGAAAATAAAGGAAAACGAAAGAAGGAGCAACGTAATTACGCTCTCCCCATCTGTATTAACAACTCACATCCCGTTCCTGCCTTGCCCTCCTATCGCGTACATTTTCCCGTGGCTGACCACCAATCCGAAGTCCTTTCTAGCTGTCAGCATGCCAGGTTCATTGAACCAAGTCCTGGTAGTTGGATCGTAACTCCATACGCTTGCAACCGCAATGCTTTTCCTGTGGAGTTTGTCTTCCACGGGATCGGCTCCACCTGGTGAAAAATGTTTCGCTCGTGTTGTTTTCCTTTTTTATTATTATTATTATCTTTAAATCTTCCCCGACGAGAAGGATTGAACAGTAAAAGATACGACGAGTTCCCTCTCGCGGTTTTCAAAACCAAGTCGTAAAGAAGATTATAATGTAAGAGACTCTTTCGTTAAACTCTGCACTTTCAATTCATTATTTCTCTTTTGACAAAATAACGAATATTTTATTCCTCAGAGTACTGAAGTTTTGATTAATTATACTCAAAAACGAGAGTTATTATAACTTAGTAAATTCCCTTTGGAATTGTTTTGTCCAATAAAGTAAGAGGTACTCCAAACTTTTGAGCGAGAACGTAAATGGATGTTCTATTTTTTCCAGTTTTTTTTTTTTTTTTATTTAAACGTGAAATTTGTTCACTGACAGCGTTACAAACGTTTCGTCGCTGTTGACTCACCCACTACATAAATACGGCCTTTTAAGTAGGCGACCGAATGATGATGTCTCGCCCGTGGAATTTCACCCACGAATTCCCAAATATTCTCGTCGGGTTTGAATCTGTATATGTCTTTGCCGGTGTTCCCGGGACGGCCGTATTCCTCGTGTGGATCGACTCCACCGAACACGAGGATCGATTCTCTGTCAGGAAAGAACAGAGAGTTGTCGAAAAAATAGCCGTCTTCGTCGGTGGCTATTATGCTATTGCTGATCCTTTGCGGACTGTAAATTTACGATTAAAAAGGTTTTTCTTTTTCTGTGAATGTTGAGGTATAATCTCAATTTTAAACAAACGACAAATATGCAGAGATTTCATTGGAATATTAACAGTATTCTAATGTACTCACAGTGCTCGTTTGTAATTCGCAGATCGAATCTGAACATTCCTAGTGGCAGGTTTTACTCGCTGAATATTATCACTTCTCGGATAATCCTTCTCGTTGTTTTTCTCATTGATCACAACGTCAGCGAGATTTATCGTCGTCGATTTTGCATCGGTTCGCGGAGGGATAGGATCGTCTGTATCTGTATCTGATGGCGAACTGGTTTTCTCGTCGTAATTTGAAAAAAACATGGGTGACTTTATAGTCTTGATAGATTTCAATGGGTCTCGTTGGCTGGTTAAATTTTGTGAAACTTGTTGCCTTCGTTGTTGTTCCCCTGTTGTGTAACAAGAAGCACGTGTCTCGAACTGTAAATCGAATAAATTAGCTATTTTTTTCATTCTGTAAGTAAGGAAAATCTTCTTTTTTTACTTGATTCACCCGATCATCGACGCAACGTTGGTTTTGTGTTCGAAGGATCGATTGTTCCCTATTCCTATTTCTAGGAGAGCATCTTAACGTGCGTATTGTTTCGTCCTTCTCGTTTCTCATTTGGCTCACTGAGCTGCTTGATACTTTGATAGGCTCTATCGAGGAATTCCGAAGCGTTTCGTCCATTGGGATGGCCAAAAGTTCCGCTACCTTCTTGATATTGCGATTCTCTCCCGATGTTGATTTCTTTATCTAAGTTTAAAGAAACAACGTTTGTATATTTCTCATCCACTCTCTGAAACCTACATCGTCAATTTTTGAACCTGACACGCATAATCTCTAGAAACATTACGGAAGAACAATGATTAAAAATAATATGTTTTCCGAAGTGAAGTCACAAGTTACGTGTTTTGTTGTAATAGCAAAAGTTTTACTTTACGTTATTCAACGAGGCTTGGAAATTAACCAAATCGAAGAATCAATCGTGTTTTTCATGGTTACGCGACGAAAAGCAAAAACTTTCAAAGTTAAAATCCATTAACTTCGTCGAGTCTCCGCCGAGTCTTGTATCCCCTATAAACGGCCTGTATCGTTGTGGCGGCTTCTTCCTCGGATTTGCAGGAGTCTGCACGCTCTTCCGGTTCCCTCGGTATGTTAGATATCGTCTGCTGCTTCCTCGTGGAAAATATGAAATTCGACTCGCGTTGCTGCTGGCACCGGCAAACATCCGTCGCGTTCTTTTCCTGCCGGCTCTCGTAATCCAATTTATCGATGTCCTCGAGAAAGAAAAAAGAAGATATAGAAGTACCGTATCGTCGAGCCGAGAAAGTTTCTTCTCACGAACGAGATCTCTCGTCGAAGACTTTACCGGTGAATTCGTGCCGCGTTCACGGTGCTCCTGCGTGTACTTCTGCACTGCAGACGATCTGTATGAGACTTTCGGCGATTCTCCGCCACCCGTGAATCTCGCGACATTCCTTTCGTCGTTCTGAATTCAGTAATTAGCATATATATTAACGTGAATATTTGTAAAATATCTCTCGGTCGTGTAATAAGTTCGACACTTCGACAGACACTGTACACTAAATAATCTAAAGAATTTGTAAAATATCGAAATTTTTTAGAAAAAGATCAAAGTTGCAATCTTAAATGCGAAAGAATTTATTACACAACCCGACAGAATTGGAAATTAACGATCCTACGATCTAATATGCGAATAACGTTTGTTCTGGGATTTGTTGGTTTATCCCTGGAACAACGAGAAAGTTGTTAAGCTGTTGTAATATTTTGCTGTTCGCGTGACAGCAAATGATTTGTCCAGAAATTAGCAGCGCAAAGTGTAGTGGTATGCTAACTAGTTACGTGTGAAATTGATGGCAAAGATTGTGCTAATTTTTCATTGCTATGAGCTCAACGCGTTCACTGAGGTAAATGTGGGTCACGGATGTTTCACCAAGGTAGATCCACACGATCATTCTGTAGCTGTTTTTAATTCGACGATGATAGTTTCATTTAACGAACCTATCATTCAAGAATAGTTCACTACCAAATTTAACAGTCATTCAATAAACATTCATTGTAAAAATATCTTAACGCTTAGAATTGAATTGAAAATCTATCTGATCTCATCGTAAATATTAAATTTGAAAGTAAAACAATTTTGATACAAGTTGAGAATATTAGACATTAACTAAAAATTTTGTTGTTTCACTCACGAGAATATCTATATGTTAGAAGTAAAACTAACCTAATTTACTTTCGCACATGTGTATCTACCTCAAGGGAAAAGCATAAGAATAAATCCCAAGATAAAGGATTAGAAACGTTTTCGAGACTTGGATGTCTCTCGATTGGAAAAATTGAAAGAAAACGTTGCGTTAGAAGCTGGAGAGTTTCCAAATATGTGTGAAAGAGCAAAAAATTTGGGCAGCTACTTGGTAAGTTGGAAATTTATAACAAGAACGGCAGCAAGAGCTCGTCATCGGGCTCCAGTTGAACCAACGATACCAAACGTTCACGCGAATGCGAGCAATTTAGACGCAATTAACAGACGCTAAATTGTTACGGGGTAAGCTGTGTAATCTCAAGGTAAGAGCTATAAGTGTGCTGTAAGTGTGCTGTTTCCATGAGTAGTACGCGGCGCATAATGGTTCGCGGCTGCCCTGTGTGCCGCGGGTTTCCGAATTAAAGCACGGGTTTTCGAGCAACGTAAACTCTGACCTTTGACTACAGCTCCGTGACTTCCTACCACCCAACCTCCCGTCACTCGACTCCGTCTCCTCGGTGAAATTTATCATTTCCACTTACAAGCACGTAAGCTTACCTCGAGATTTCTTTTGACGATAACCGCGCAATAATCCCTGAAAGGCAAGCAGAGCAACTCTTGAAGCAGAATCTGACCTCCCTCCGCGTTTCTCGTCGCGGGACTCGATCGCAAAACGACTCACCGTTTCAACAGTCCACGGTTATTCTCATCCTCATCACAAGGCGTTTATATTACTTTGAATATCCGTTTTACCGAGTCATCTCCGAGACGTTTGTGAAAATATACACCAATACGTATTACAAAAAATTCACGTGTGCACGTATATTTTCTCGCACAGGTCGAAGTTTAATAAATAAATAAATACGATATACGACATACGTTATCTAAATATATACGTTAATCTAGATATTTCATGTACGAGATATCTGAATTTCATGCTCTCTGACAGAGATCTTTGATTCTTTGATTCTCCTTTGGCAGTATCAAAGTCTCTCAGCTAGCGTAAAAATATTAGTGTCGCGGTTTTGGTGGTTAGTGAACAGGTCCATCTTGATGTTTCTGCGTCGATCTTCGATTTGCCCCAGGGTTACTCACCCCTTTGCTTCTTTCCAAGTTGCTCAGATACTCGTTCATAAATTTCGGAGGCATCGTCATACCCTCTGGCATCTGTAGCGGCAAATAATTTGACGGTACTGGTTTTGATTGCCTCGAATGCATTGCTGGCCCATTGTGGATAACGGCGGTGTCGCCTGAACGAGTCGGTTTTGTTTAATTTCATTGTAATTTTGATTTTAATATTACCTAATAATATTATTATTATTATTACCTGAACTTTGAATATAGTTGTTCGGCTTAGAAGCTATAAATGCGTAGTCGTTACGAGGTGAACAGATAGTTGTGGGTTTCGCACGACTTTTCCGGATCTTCAGCTCCGAAATTTTCGTTCTCTGATATTCCTCGAGATAGAGCAAAAATTCTCGATACGTTACGTAATTCTTGAAAGGAGAAATATTATTTGGAATATATATTTTTTTTTCAAATATCGGTGTAGTTTGATTATCACCTTGTCTTCCCCAGCCCAATTTCGATTAGTTGGCTCCGTAAGCCCCAGTAAGTCGATCCAGTGATAGTAGTCTTCTGTTTGGTTACCGTACCAATATTTTATAATGACGAAACTGAAAAACACTCAGGGTGATTTAAGCAACAATCTGTCGTACTTCGTAAAAGAAACCATAAAATGGTACGAATCTTACGCTAGACCATCGTCGACCATCTTCTGCACCTCGGGAGAAGACATCAGTTCCATGAATTCGGGGTTTTCTGGATTTCTCTTCACATCTACCAACTGCCACGGTGCGATCAATCCAAATCGAACGCATTTCAAAACTTCCAACATGTGTTGCTTTCTGTTGGTCCAATCGTGCATCAGCCATCGTACAGCGGACATAAGAACCTCCATTTCGCTGGTTGAAAGTTCAGAAATAAAAAGAATATGTACAACGTGTCACACGTGTATTGATTGTTGATCGATTACCTATTGACGCAAATGTAATTTGACTTCAATAAAAGGCACAGTTCGTCCATGGATAATTGGAGGAAATCTTTCGTGCTGACCAGCATCAAGAAAAATTTCATAATTCTCGGCACCATCAGTTCCATGACCGCGGTGTTCCCAACTTTCTTCGCTTCCAGATACAGTAAGAACGCCGTGTCTTCGGTGAACAATTCATCGTTGTCTATGAAAGCCCAACATTGTTCTTCTAGCTCTGAGTATTGAGAAAGGGATGAAAATTAAGAAGATAATAATGAAGCCATAAATTGAAGTGGATACACCGACAAACTAAAGTCTGTTATTCTGTCATTGCAAATAAAAAAAAAAGAAGAAAAAATTAGTATTGACAAAAGCTAGAGAGCGTTAGTTCACTTTAGATTTTCTCAGGCTTCTGCTTGATAATTCTGTTTTGATAATTATAAACCAATAAATTAAGGCACACTGATTGAGTTACTATTAAAATAAACAGATACCACGGTCTTGAAAAAGATTTAGGGCAATTTTGGTTCAAATGAATATAAAAATTGAAATTAAGGTGAAACAAAAGACTTTGTTATATATCGTATAAATATAAACTTTCGTTCATCTTCGTCAATGCGAAAGGTTCGTGAACAATGATCCTGTTTACATCGTGCTTCCAATACAATTTCCCATCTCCATCAATCTTCTAAAACGCAACTGCACCGCCGTAATATACAGCCGATGCTTTCTAGCAGGCTTTAAAGCTTCGAACTCGGGAAAGAATGAAAAGTTTTCAGCCGTGATAGATATCCGGCGGGGAGTCTGGATGGTGTCGAACCGTGAGTTTCGTTGAATATGTCACTGTCCAACTCGGAATTTCAACAAACCGTATGAGATCTTGGAAAAAATGCAGGTGATATGGTTTGACGATAGAACACGAGAAAATTCAGGTTTCTCTTCGAGAAACAACGTTTCTAAAATCTTAGTTTTTTTTTTCGGAAAACGTGTTGTACTTTTGATTGAAAGGTTGCAAATGCGAAATCGTGAAATTAATTACGCTTGAATATACGCGGAAATCGGAGAAAATCCAAGGAGAGATAAAACGCTCGAGTCTTAGCAGTACAGTGTAAAGATTTGTAGAATCAGTAGAATCAGTTTTTTAATTCACCTTTAATTCCGAGATATTGCGCTGCGGTAAAGATCTCCAAAATGTTGTCCCTTTGCAGAAGCCTGTAGCTCTCGTTCTGCGGACTGATCATCCAGTCGTAGATGAGCGAAAACGCTTTCGAAGACACGTCACTCTAGCAGACACAAACATATTAAATGTTACTCTAATCCTATCCCGTAGAGAACAAACAGACTTTAAGAAACTAAAATATCCAACCTTAGGAGACTGAACATTCTGTTCTCCAAAGAAACAGAAATTTATAAGTAAAAACGCGTTGACTTAAAGATGTTAAACTTTCGTATCAAATTAAAGAAGCTAATGTGCAAAAAATTCTGAAATAAACAATCCATCGTCCCTTCTTCAAGCTTCTTGATCCGAATGCAAAGTACCAAGAGGCCCAATTTAACTGTGAAGCGTCAACAAAGACGACGTTTTCAGCCAGGGAGGAAGGACTCGGTGTTATCTAGTTACAAAGCACGTGTGTCTTTCTATTTTTAATTACACGTCTCCTTGACACGTGGCGAGCGTGAGAGCTGTTCGTGGTCCACGGGATACAACAAGAACGGGGTAGAAACTGCTCCTCGTAGGAATCATTAAAGGGCGGCGGATGGCGGCGCGGTTATTCGAGCGTCGCTGTTCACCCTTGAGTAAAAAGAGGAGTCAAATATAGCCGTGTGGCCAGGGAAGACGAAAAGGAGTTCAAGGTCGCTTGGCTACGAGCCCACCGAGTCACCGGCAGAGCACGGGAAACACGAAGGGCGCTAGGATGCTGACACAAGAGATTGGGGTCGCTGGCAACCCCTTGTCCTCTCGTTCGTTGCCTACTTGGCGATTTCGAAGCCTCGACATCGCCAGATTTATTGAATCTCCGCTCGAACGGACCACCGACGACGAACCGCGCGGCGTTATAGCTCGATTACTGTCATTACTGTTCGATGTAAAGTTTCGCGAGGGTACAGTAGTGCAATTTATGAGTGGCTGGCGGTGGAACAATGCAATCTGCCTGAATCGCCGTGATTTATAGCGTTTTTCTCGTTTCTGAGAATGCAGGTCAATTCCAGCGATTTTGATATTTGATGCGGCAAGTTCAGGAATGTATGTGGCGAAAGTTTCTTCAGTTCTGAATTGTCCCAAGACTTTGATATATAGAAGCAAATAAAAACCACGCGAGAGGAAATATATCTTTCGTCTATCGGCGGCGACTTGACCAGCGCCGCGCCAGTCGTGGATCAAATTTTTCAAATATTCCAAATTCCTCCATGGCTCACCGATATGAAGAAGAGATCAAGATGCTGCATAGAACTCGGGAAATTCTCCAATATGCGTGATAAAATTCCTGCGCGAAACACTTCTCGACCGAGATATCGTAAATATCGATCGCTTTACAACCTCGACTCGTCACCTCTATACACCGATCAAGCATACGTATATATCCCAATGGTTAACGAATATTCGCGTGAATTCTATCGAATCGGTCAGT